CTATGATTCTATGATCAAGACTGTGGCACAAAGGGTTGAAGTCTCCATGAGCCTTGCCGTTCTGCTAGAGTCCTAAACTGGCTGCTTTACTCTCTGCCCCTTGGCTATTTATTATTTAAAATTTTAAGCACCACTCCACAAACTTTGCAAGGATCATAATATGGTTGGACTCCTCCTGGTGCATTATGCTATCAGTTGCCTTTTTCCAGTGTTGTACAAAAGTGCCTAGGGAAGGCAGACAAAACCTGATGACTCTGAACAACCTATTTCTCCAGTGCTTGGCTTTGTTCACAGGCAAACCACCTTCCCCTGCCCTTCCAGACCCTTTTTCCTCTGTGATGCAACAAAAAGGAATAAAGCCTATGATGGCAGATATAAAATTCTGATGAAAATATACTGTGCCATTCATTTCCATGTAGACATCCTAGAGTTGCATTAGATTATAATTCCAATCATGCCCAGACAGTATAAGGACATGAACAGTATCCAGCACATCTGGAGAAACACTAAGTTGAGGAGAGTACATTAAGTAATCATAATTGCTAATAACAAGACAAGATGCTGATCAATTCTGATGCAAAACATATAACAGTTCAATTTAGCATTAAATTTGTTTTAGAGGCAACCAACTTATTTAGGCACAAGATGGCAGAAAATCCCAGAAACATTTCTCCTTATCCCAATACAACAACCAGCTATATAGCAAAACCATTTGCAACCCTTTCATGACACCTAAAATTGACTACCTAAGCTAGCAAACTCACTCTGTGGATAAGTAGGACCATCCCTGTAAAAACCTTGTGATTACTTTGATCTAGCACAGAAGACAACAATCAGATTTAGAAGCATGGCTCTGAGAGGCAGCCACTATGCTCCAGTTCATATGAATGCACACATATGTGAAGAACGGTGCATACACCTTTCCTTATATCAAAATACAGGATTGTTCTTCCTTGGCTCCCCCATTCCCAAAACAAAGACAGTCACATGATTTATCAGCATGCTAACCCTCATGAATCAAAACAAGCTCTTAGCATTTTCTCCTATTTCTCTCCTTTTCCCTTTGTCTTGTAGAAGGGATTCTTCAGAGACAGGTGTTCCCTTGAGAAGGCTGTAGCACAGATGCCAGATGATATATTAAATAGCCCAAGGGCAATGGTGTGTGCACTGAACAGCTAATCTAGTAGATTTTTCCCCCTCAGAATACTAAACAGAAATGTGAATGTATTCTAAAGGTAAGTGGCAACTGATTAAGAGGAGAAAGGCAGGGGCAAGGGGATAAGCTCAGTACTGAATGTATTTTCTCCTAGCTCTTGTTTGTTGTTGTTGTGACCACCTTCAAGTCACTTCTGATTTAGGGCGACCCTAAGGTAAATTTATCATAAGGTTTTCTTAGCAAGATTTGTTCAGAGTGCTTTCCTCTAAGACTAAGAGAGTGTGACTTCCCCAAAGACACCCAGTGGGTTTCATGGACAAGCGGGAAATCGAACCCGAGCCTCCAGAGTCATAGACCAATACTCAAACCACTACGCCACTCTGGCTCTCTTATATATATGACTAATGGTATACCTTTTGGTAAACAGATAATGGGAGTGGTATTTGAAGAGACAACATGCATAAATATTTCAAGGCCTCACTCAAGTTCCCTAAAATCATCTAGGCCCGTGCATACACAATATCATATTTAAGCACATTAACTATTTTGCTAAGTATGCTTTGTTTCTCCATGAAACCTGCTCACATTAATTCAAGTTTAGAATGGACTAGTTGTTAGGGAGATTGGAAAAATCTGAACCTGTCACTCAGACAAACTACTCACAGGATGACCTTCGGCCAATTACTATTGACCAGCTTAACTTACCTCACAGATTTGTAAACCTACAAGAGGGAGGAATCATTTGAAATCTTGGACTGAGTGGCACAGTATTCATGATTTTGATACTAGATTAAATGAAAAACTGGTTTGGTAAGGGCATGAACAAAATGATGCCTCAGAGTCAAATGGCAAGATAAATGCTCTTTGCCTTCTGGAATCTATTTTAGGGCTTGTCAACACAGGCATGTAATCATCTGATATCTCCCCACCTCATGACTTACAGCTAAGTATGCAACTCTATTCAGTGTTGTGCCCAAGATGAAATGAAGTTTCTATCCAGTATTATACCTATGATGGCTCATCACCTATGCCAGGTCATCACTTGACAACACAAGCATTCATGCATCAGCCTTCAAAATATGCAGTAAACTAGCTCCAGCTTCTGAAAAGAAGGATTAGTAGCTCAGTGTTTATGCAACAGCTTTGCATGGAGAAGGCCTCAGATTCAATCTTCAGTATCTCTTAATTGAAAGGATCAGGGTACAGATGACAGGAAATACCTCTGTTTGAACACCTGGAAAGGGGTTATCAGTCTGAACTGACAGGTGGAACTTGTTCTGGCTAACAAAATACCACAACTGAGATACTACAACCTTTCTTTAAAATAACTAAACATGCCCTTTTCCCAAGCCATCACAAGTAGGCAAAGTCATAGCAGACATGCCAACAGCCCCTTTGCTAAGCATCAGCTCTCCATTTGAGCACTGCAAGCTAGATGTAATCCCAAAACTCTCACTAATCGGTTTGCATTTGTCTAATCTGGACCCCCTGCTGTTCTGAACTCAAAAATTTGTCATTCTTCCTGCTACTCCATTTGAGATTTTATCTGTGTACTTTGTGATCATGCAGGACAGGAAACATCTTACCTAAGAAAACAAAGCAAAAAGAAGTTGTGAGAAGCTTTCAATACAGTAGTTGAAGAAGTAAGCCAAAACCAAGCTCCCACAATTCCACTTCCTTATCTCAACTATTATTCTAAGAAGAGAAACAGCAAAATGCAGGCCTAGGATTAACATGTTTAGTTTATAACACCTTTCCTGATGAAGAAGCCAGTGAAGCTTTGAAAGCTTGCAACATGTATACTGTGCATTTTGGTTGGCTAATAAAGGTATCACCTTTTGGTGGATTTTTTATTCGTTCAGTTTATGTTAGTAAAGCAGCTGCCCAATGGCATGGGTCAGCATGGTTTTTGCAGGTCCAGATGGCCTGACAGAATGATAGGAAAGCTGGCAAGAATTAGAAGACAAAGCAGATGTGCTGCATACATTCCAAAAGCATGAATAGACTATACCGTCTGCCTCCTAATTACGTCAAATTACAAATCTAGATGGGAAATCTAGATTCCATTGTATAGCAATATGCTCCCTATTCCATTACAAGAGTAGAGAATATAAGTAGTATCTTCTGTTTACTGATATAACACATGCAGCCCTCCACATGCTTTTGTACTGCAAGTTCCAGAAGCCCTAGCCAGCACTGTCAATGGTGAGGAATGCCTGGAAGGCCAGGACACTACTATCTGGAGGACCACGGTTCCTATTTTTGTATTAAAGTAAGACATGCAATTCAATGACATAAATACTGGTGCACAGACAACTCTGTGGCTGTAGAGACATGATGTGGAAGTGCTATGGAGTATTAGCATTTAACAGCTATCAAGTGCCTTCTGACCAACCAAGCTAAACGCAAGTACAGTATCAACCATCTCCTACAACAGAGCAGGTATACTTAACATGCACTCTCTTTTTGCCACCTTGTGATTGTCACCAGTCATACAGATGCACAGCAAGATCAAGGAGTAGTCCCAGTTTACTAGAAGCTTTGTGGAGGAAAACCTAACCACATGAAGATAGCCGACTGAAAGGAAACCAGACACTGCTGGTTTGAGTAAGATCTGGTGAGATACTATACAAAAGTTCCCTTTTAAATATATTACTATTTACATAACATCAGACTTTTTAGAGTAATTATGACAGAACTGAACAAGATCCTAAAGTGTAAAGATATAACTCTGAACACTTAAGTGAGAATCATCCAAGCCCTTGAATTCCCCATCACCATGACTTAGAGAGTTGGGTATGTTTAGCCTGGAGAAGGTTAAGAATCATAGAATCATAGAGTTGGAAGAGACCACAAGGGCCATCCAGTCCAACCCCCTGCCATGCAGGAATTCAAAACCAAAGCATCCCGAGAGATGGCCATCCAGCCTCTGTTTAAAGACCTCTGTTTAAAGATGAAGACCATGTAACCTGTATTCTATGCTTATTATCTGGAAGAAAGTCTCTAAGACTTAATGGGATATACTCCTACTGATTTATATGATAGCCCTGTTTAAATATTTCAAGGGATGTCATATTGAGGATGGAGCGAGCTTTTCTGCTGCTCCAGAGAATAGGAAGTGGAACAATGGATGCAAGCTACAGGAAAAGAGATTCCAACTAAACATTAGGAAGAACTTTTTGACAGTAAGAGCTGTTCAGAGTGTAGCAGAGTCTCCTTCTTTGGAGGCTCTTAAACGGAGGCTGGATGGCCATCTGTCAGGGGTGCTTTGCTTGTGCATTCCTGCATGACAAGGGGTTGGACTTGATGGCCCTTGACGTCCCTTCCAACTCTATGATTCTGTCTATAGATGTGAGAGCTGGACAGTAAAGAAAGCCAATAGAAAGAAAATCAACTCATAGATGTCCAAGAAGACAAACAAATGGGTTCCAGAACAGATCAAGCCCTAACTCGTCTTGGAAGCCAGGATAACTAAACTGAGGCTGTCGTAGTTTGGCCAGACCATGAAAAGACATGAATCATTAGAAAAGACAATGATGAAGAAAGGTAGAAGGCAGCAAAAAGAGAGATAAGTCACATGCTAGATAATCAGACTTAGGGCCTACACAGACTGCCAGAGATAATCCAGTTTGGGACCACTTTAACTGCCCTGGCTCAGTGCTAGGGAATCATGGAAATTGTAGTTTATTGTGGCACCAGGGCTCTCTGACAGAGAAGGTTCAATGTCTCAGAAAAAAACACAATTCCCATGATTCCCTAGCATTGAGCCAGGACAGTTAAAGTGGTCTCAAGCTGGATTATTTCTGGCAGACTGTTCAGGCCCTTAATCAGGAAGACCACAGGTCTGAATCTGTAGTAACTGAGCACAGCTGTTGAGGACAAGGAGAATTGAAGAGGTCTCATCCACAAAATTGTCATGAGTCAAACACAACTCAAGGGCAATTAACAACAATGACTCTTTTCAAAATACAAAAGAACACACCCTTGCCCCAAGGAGCTTACAATCTAAAATTTGCTTCAGGGAAAGCAGAGGAAGGAAACAGAGGCTAGTGTGAACTAAGAAAAAAGATGGAATTCTTACCTCTGCTTATTTGTTGTTGTTGTTAACTGCCTTCAAGTCGATCTCGACTCATGGCGACCGTATGGATGAGACATCTCCGAGACATCTCCAAGACCCTCTGTCCTCCACTGCTCTGCTTAATTCCTACAACCCACATCCATGACTGCCTTAACGGAGTCCATCCATCTCGCAGGGGCCTTTTTCTTTTCCTACTTCCCTCCACATTTCCCAGCATTATTGTCTTTTCCAATGAATCCTCTCTTCTCATAGTGTGTCCAAAGTACAACATTCTCAGTTTGGTCATCTTGGCTTCCAAGGAGATTTCAGGCTTGATCTGTTCTAGGACCCATTTGTTTGTCCTTTTGGATGTCCATGGGTTCCTCAGGACTCTCCTCCAGCACCACGTCTCAAATGCATTGATTTTCCTCATATCATCTTCTTAACTGTCCAGCTTTCATGTCCATACATGGTAATAGGGAATACA